CGTAGAAGGTTGTGAGCGTCAACTCGCATCCTCCGTTCTCAGCAAGGCCACTTGCCCAATCAACACAGATAACTCCGCCTCCAACTCCTTAACACACCCCTCAAGCCTCGCCACCTTGAGCGCGGATGCCTTTTCCTCCTTAGTTCGCTCCGATCTATATACACGGAGAGCATCCTCCAAAACCGTCGCTTCAGAAATAACGGCCGCTAGTCTATCAACACTCACATTCAGCTCAACCTTAAGCTCGTCAATCTCTGCTGACTTCGTTCCCAACTTGATAGTCAAACTAGCTACCTTTGCCTGTAGGTCGGCATTCTCAGCCATCACACCTCTACTTAACTCAAGCTCATCCTTCTTTGTCTTAAGGGATGCCTCGAGTTCGCTATTGCGGGCGACGACTTTCATGAGATCCTCGTCCCGCTCTCTCAAGTCCTCGACTTTGTGCGCCAGTTGGTCTTCCCTTTGTTTAAGCCCTTCATGAAATAATTGGAAGTCAGGATGCTGAGTATAGATGTCGGCCATCGCACGGTGCTTGGTGTGGTATTTTTGATATTTGGAAGACTTCTTCCTGAAGATGGCCATTCTTTTTCTTTCCCGACGCTCGCGCTCAGTCTCCATGATAAGGGTCTGCCACAATAAGCAAAAGTTAAAGATGAATATAGGCTAAAAATAACGACAAAAATCCAATGACGAAAGGGAAAAGAAAATTCTACCCGCAAGGCCATGCCGGCAACGCCACGAGACAACTCCACATCGCTCATCGTTCTAAGCACCTCGCTCTCAAGGGCCGCACATAAAGGGGCTAAGGCAGATGCCACCTGCTCGCAGCTCGACAACAAGTTATAGTCCCCAAGGATAACTATATGCTGATCAGAATCCTCCATCCTGACCTCTACATGGGTATGGCATTCTACAAACTCATGGATATCATTCGGATCGACATCCGAACCCGATCATTCACCCTCAACACGCGGGGCCCTCCAACATTGGACGAGACACCACCCTCAGCAGAGCGCACAAAACCACCTCCTGGGTAGACCCCTTCCATTTGGGAAGACCTCCCAGCTAAGATGGCGTTGGCCATAAATGTGGGCACAGGTGCCGTCTGCGACGCACCCACCCTACTTCCACCTGTGTCCACAACCATGTCCTTTCTAAGCTCCACTTTCTTTCTCTTTCTTAGTAACGATTCGTCCCCATTAGAGGATTCATCCAAGAGGTGAGGGGTCAGTACGGAAGAGGCCTCTTCCCTCACAATCAAATCCTAAGAAAAACCTTTCATTCAAACCGGCTGAGTACAACCCCCTCGAATGGATTCAGTTAAAGCAAATTGCATCCCCGCAGTAGCGACAACCTTTCGGAATGCAGGGACTGGGGCCCTCCGCCTAGAAAGTCCTTGACCTGTCATCACGAAGAGTCGTATCAATAAATAACAGTGTACATTAAATGAAGTGATATAGGGGAAAACACTTATCAGATGAAACTCTCGGACCATAACATTTCACGAAGGCGGGCCAATCTCGGGTCTCCGTTGCATGGGGTAATAGATGAGCTACCCAATCCCTTATATCCGTAATAGGGCAGGGTGGGCGCCTCAAAGCTGCAAATGCGAAGAAAACAAACCCTATAAGGAATGAATAGGAAAAGAAAGAATAAACTAAGTGGCGACACTTACGATTCTCGTTCCACTGCTCTGGGAACCTAGTGGGATCGGAAACAATGTGCTCGGTTTTGACAAAGAAATACTTATGCCAAAACTTGCAACTTGCTCGGTCATCGGTCCCAACTACCAGCCCTTTTATTCCACGATGCCTCAAATTCACCATAGTGCCCCTATGAAAGCTGGGTGAGGAGAGGTGCAAGAGGTGGTGGATAATAACGTCGCACCCCACCAACTCAGCATACTTTGTTAACAACAGAAGTATCTTAAGTGTGTATGGCGAGAGTTGCACCGGGCAAACTTGATAGAATCTGCAGAACTCCTCCGCTAATGGAGGGAGGGGGAAAGAATAGCCGATCACGAAGGGGGTACTCATAAAAAGCACAGTACCCAGGTCTATGGACTTCCACGAAGTCCCTTCCCGCTGGAACCATATCAACATGAGCGGGGATGCTATACTTTGTACGGAGAACATCAATATGAGCTTGTTCCGTTTCAGAGAGTACGCGGGGAGGAGTAGGAGGAGGATACTTGAGGAAGTCGCTTCGAGACGTGGGGTGTCTTGGCATCAATTCCTCTACGGTGGGAAAGCTACCCCCTCTTCCACCGCCATATCCTCACCGCCAGAGGGGAGTGCCACGAACAACGGGGCAGCCTCAGAAACCCCTTCATGAGATCGATGCGTTCTAGGCATTTCTCCGATGGAAGAAGTGTTAAAGTAGCAGAGAAAGTTATGAATAAAGAATGGGAGAAGAAGAAACAGAAAGTTGTTAGAACAAATGCAAGAGGGATGAGAAAGGATAACCAGAAGTGAAATGGCCAAGATTTTTTGAAAAAACAAATCCTCCACCTATTTATAGGGTTGGGTGGCGCCAGTATCGAAGCGGAAGGTTGTAGAGTGGCACCGAAATTGAAGCGACAGGCCATCAACCCCTATCTCGAAAACACGCATAATGATGACGCACGTGGAGATGACATTATTTCCTGGTAAAATACACTATCCGGTGTCTAGCTGAGCACGCTGATCGCCCATTATTGGCCAAGCCGTAACGCCTCATAGGATCAAATTTCTCCATAAGAATGCATGGTGTCCACTTATCGAGAATGCACCAAGTTGCAACCTGGACAAGTGAATGGACTAACTGTATGTGTCCAAATTTGGACAATCACGGTCGTTAATGAGTACGACAAGCGACGAGAACCTCGTAGCTCGACATCCTGTAGGAGACGACCTACAAGCGACCAAGAGACTATATGACTTTCGCAGTAGTGTAGGCCCATTAGGGAACATTAGGAATATTCTTTCAAATATTCTCTGTGATTTGTCTTTTAGAACTTAGAAGGGGTTTGTCCCTTATATATAGAGCGTAAAACAACCTTGTAACTCTCTCTCGGCATTTTCCCAACTAAGAACACTCGCTATAACACTTGCTTACATAAACGATTGATGTCATTATTGTTTGATGGTTCATCTTGACAAGATAAAGAAATCTTATCCCCATATTCACCTTGCATATCTTTTGTTCTAGAGATTATTATACTTAGTTAAGATTTACCCTTCATTTTCTTTGATTGATTTATTCAAAAAGGTTTCAATATCTTTTGAGTCAAACAATACACTTGCCAAGCTTCGCTAGTTGCTGCATCAAGTTCTAAGGGAAATAACACAATATATTTTGACATGGTTCCATCGTAACTGAAATGTATAACGACATGTAAAAAATACAAAAAAATTAATAGAATTAGAAAGGTCAATATGGAAAAGTGACACCTTGATTTGTTTGTGGTTAAGTTCTTAAAATAAATGCAGTGATAAATGGAAGAAGTTTAATTAATTTGCAGATTTTAATATTTGAGCCTAGATTTGTAGATAAAATTTAAGGAAATTTCTTATAGAGAAATTAAATAAGTAGTTTGCCATTTATAGATCCACACGAAAATAGAGGGAATACCAAAATTTGAAAATTTGGCCTAAATTTTCACACCAATTTTTTTAATCGAAAAAAAATTGAGGGCAGTGGTTAGGCCTGCTATGTTGTATGGGACCGAGTGTTGGCCGGTGAAGATCTCACACATCCAGAGGATGAAAGTTGCAGAGATGAGGATGTTGAGGTGGATGTGCGGGCATACAAGGAAGGATAAGATTAGAAATGAAGATATTCGAGAGAAGGTGGGTGTGGCCCCCATGGAGGACAAGATGCGGGAAGCAAGACTCAGATGGTTCGGGCACATTCAGAGGAGGAACACTGATGCACCGGTGAGAAGGTGTGAACGACTGGCAGTGGTGGGTACGAGGAGAGGTAGGGGGAGACCTAAGAAGTATTGGGGAGAGGTGATCAGGCAGGATATGACGCGACTTAGGGTTACTGAGGACACGGCCCTAAACAGGGAATTGTGGAGATCGAGCATTAAGGTGGTAGGTTAGGGAAATTGTGATGTCTTTGTTACAGCGCACTAGAGTGAGACTAGCCAGTTAGGAAGTAGTCTTAGGATGCTATTGATCAACTACTGATGATGGGCTTTATCTCCTGTGTATTAATACCTTACATCTTTCTCGTATTTCCTATATCTCTTATATTGTTGTTACTTTGTTTTTATGGTATTTATGTTATGTTATGGATTTTATGGTACTTTATGTTGTTTTATTATGAGTCTATTGATAGTACTAATATAGTGTCTCTTGTTGCCTCTTTGAGCCGAGGGTCTCCTGGAAACAGCCTCTCTGCCCCTCGGGGTAGAGGTAAGGTCTGCGTACATATTACCCTCCCCAGACCCCACTTGTGGGATTACACTGGGTTGTTGTTGTTGTTGTTGTTGTTGAAAAACATCTCCCCGCGTCCATTGGGCAATAGTCCACTTCCTCTCTCCCTATTTAAAATCGCCAATCGTCTCTTCTCTTTTCTCACGCCCTCTTTCATTCTCACTCTACTTCATTGGCTTTATTTCCCCCTAAACTTTACCTCATATTTGCTGTCCTCAACCACTCCGATGGCGCACGATAGCGACCTCCCATGCGACGGCGATGGCGTCTGTATGGTGTGCAAAACGAAGCCATCGGAGAATGAATCCCTCCTCTGTAAGACTTGTGCCACTCCCTGGCACGTCACCTGCCTCTCTGCTCCTCCCAATTCCATGGCCGACGCCGTCAACTGGGAGTGTCCTGATTGCTCTTTGCCTCCCGATGCCCCCCGGGTCGCCGTTAAACAGAATGCTACTGCGGCTTCCTCGTCGTCTGGCAGCGATTTGATCGCCGCCATTCGGGCCATAGAATCCGACTCGTCGCTCACCGAACAAGAGAAGGCCAAGCAACGACAAGAGCTCTTGAGCGGAAGCGCTAAAGCCAGTAATCTGGAGGTTGTCAATACAGACAACGATGTTCTCAACATTCTCGATGGAAGTTTGAACTGCTCTATGTGCATGCAACTGCCGGAGAGACCTGTCACGGTATATCGCATTTTCAATGTTTTTGTCCTTTCCTTGCTTTATCCCCTTTTTCCTTTTTCAATTTTACGTTTTAGTTTCATTCTCCTCATTTTTGTATTAAAGATATACTAGTCCTGATTTGCCATTATTGCAAGTTGCCTCACATAGATGCTTAGCCTGAAATATTTCAATTTCACTCCCGAGATGACTTCCTTCTAGGTTCACATCTGTAACTTGGAACACAAAGAACCTTATGTTTTGGACTCATAAAGTTTTATGCTTAATCAGAAGAACAGGAAGAGACCTTGTTTTTTTTAATTTTATAAATGTTACTCAAAACCTTATGCTTAATTTCAATTACTGAAATGTCCTTGCTTTATGCCTCCTAGATATATGTTACTTGTATTGTTGTGTCCGATCCTGAGAAGAGTTCATATGTGAAATTTCTTTGTTGAATGGAGGTGAGTTCAAGGGTTTCTTTGATTGCGAAATGCACACACTTCTTTTGTTGTCATTAAGTTTCCTTCCCCTGTGCTGTTAGAGAGTACAATTCATGAATAGGAAATAGTGGGAAAATGGACAGTGAGATAACTTGCATGCCAATGAACATATTTAAATTGACATCAATAAATAGCTTTGCGTAAATAAGCATAGATGCCCATGACTAATGGATTAGCCCTTCCCTGTCTATTGCCGTTCCAGTAATCATTGTTACTATAAATTGTGTATGTGGTATCTCATGCTTTATTTTTTAATTTTCTTTTTAATTGTTTTGTTTCTATGATGTTTGAGTACTAAAATATTGGTAGGTTTGTATGAGATACATGATTTGGACCACTCAAGCCCAATAGAATGGGCATTAGGAATATTTTACCTACTTGGTTGATCACTTGATTACAAGTGATCTTTGATCCTTTGTTGGATAGATGCTCATTTCCTTTTGAAGGAATAGTTATTTAATTTGGAGGCTTCACACAGCTCCATCTTACTACTATTATCTTTTCCATGTCAGACGCCTTGTGGTCATAACTTTTGCTTGAAGTGTTTCCAAAAGTGGATTGGGCAGCGGAAGAGCACATGTGCTAATTGTCGTACCCCTATTCCGCCGAAAATGGCAAGCCAACCTCGAATTAACTCTGCTCTAGTCATTGCCATAAGAATGGCAAGAACACTACGATCTGGTGCTTCTGGGGGGACTTCAAAAGTTGCCCATTTCATTCACAACCAAAATAGACCTGACAAAGCTTTCACCACTGAGCGTGCAAAAAAGTCTGGAAAGGCTAATGCTTGCAGTGGGAAGATTTTTGTCACAATCCCTGGTGACCATTTTGGACCAATTTCAGCAGAGAATGATCCAGAGCGCAACTTGGGCGTCTTAGTTGGTGAGACTTGGGAGGATCGTTTTGAGTGTCGGCAATGGGGGGCTCATTTCCCTCATGTGGCTGGAATTGCTGGCCAGTCAGATTATGGGGCCCAGTCTGTTGCACTTTCTGGCGGATACGAAGATGATGAGGACCATGGTGAATGGTTTCTTTATACTGGAAGGTAAAGTTTTGTCTGTGTTGCTTGTCTTTTATCTTTTGTTTGATATATGTACCTTCTGTTGTTTCCCTTAGCTCACCTTGCATGCAACTCGTTTTCTCAAACTTACTCTATGCATGATGTTCCACTTATGATGCATTTGCTGTGTTGAATTTCTATTCTCTGTTGTTTCTTGTATTTTGAGCACCATGCTCGTGTAAAGTATCTATCAGTTGTGGTTAAGCTGGATTCTTCCTTTTGATTTCTGAAAACCCTTTATGAGTGTTATCAATTTGACTTTTGTTTACTAAAAAGTGAGTCCAGATTAATGCTTGGTTTTGCATTTGTTTATTTATTTACACTGATAACTTTTGGTGCTGCTGGTTTCTGCTGAGGTACCCTTCTAAGTAGTTTTATGTTCATTTGTTTGGCTAGTGGTGGAAGAGACTTGAGTGGTAACAAGCGAACAAACAAGTTACAATCATTTGACCAGAAATTTGATAAGCTTAATGAAGCTTTACGTATCAGCTGTCTCAAGGGTTATCCTGTCCGAGTTGTGAGGTCAGTTGGTGCATTTAACATTTTGATTAAAAATGTAGATAACTGAAATGATTCTTGCTATCCCTTCTTTTGACTGGAAATTGGCTGATTTATTGTTGTGTTAGGCACTCTTGGGTTGGTCAATAAAGTATATGTAGTTGGCTTATTTAACTTCCACAGTGTGATGTTATGTATCATAGAGATGTTAAGTTTCATGTCAGAGCAACCAAGTTTGCATGATAGCTGATGTACTTGTGATTGTTCTTGACATTCTGTGCAATTGCTGTTGTTTTCTCTAAATTTTTGAAGTACCAAGTAGGGTAATTGTTATGCGATCTATGTTGCAATCTATTTCTTAGCTTCAGGATGCCAACTTTCTGCTATTGAAATGTCTTGACCTTTGTCAACAAAATAATTTCTATCAGCATCCACTAGTTGAGTTACTAATAGTCTATTTGGTGGGATTTGCCAATATTTACATCGTCTCAGATCTTTTTCATTGATGTTGGAGGTGCATTTGTGCATTTCAAATGCACAAGTTTTATCCTTTTCTTATATATATAGGTCCCATAAGGAGAAGCGTTCTTCTTATGCACCAGAGAAGGGAGTACGATATGACGGGGTTTACAGGATTGAAAAATGCTGGCGGAAAGCTGGAAAACAAGTGTGAAACTCTTGTCCAAATCTTTATGCATCTGTATCTCCGATTCTCCATCTATGTCAATCATATACGTGTCTTTGACATTTGTGCAGGGATTCAAAGTGTGTCGATATCTTTTTGTGCGCTGTGATAATGAACCTGCCCCATGGACCAGGTCTTTTATTTGTGCAATTTTACTTATTTGCAAATGTCTATCCCCTTCTTTTTGGGATTTTCTTTTATTTAATTAACCTTGTTATATTGGCAGTGATGAGCATGGGGACCGTCCTAGGGCCTTGCCTTCCGTAAAAGAGCTAAATGGTGCTACAGATATGACTGAAAGAAAGGGATCTCCGGCTTGGGATTATGATGTGAGAAGCTAGATAATTGTAGCATGATATTTAGAATCTGCAGTAGTTTTTCTGTGTGGTAATTTAGAACATTAAAGGATGCTGATTGTCAGATTGTGTGATTAATTTTGCCAATTTAATTGGGCTATTTACATTCTTTCTGTAAATGCAGTGACATTTTTTAAATCAACTTTGTTGTATGTGAAGCATACATTATAATAATGTTGGCACTGTTTGTAATATATGGTTTCTGTTTTACAGGAGGAGAAGAGTTGTTGGATATGGAAAAAAGCTCCTCCTAATAGTCGAAAACCTATTCAATGTCAAAATGATGATGATGGAACAAAAGTGAGGAAAGTTAGATCAAAGAAAAATACAGTGTCTGTGAAGCAAAGGCTTTTGAAAGGTATACTTCTCATTCAATGCTAGCCATTATATCTTTTGCCTTCTAATCTGATTTAACTAGGCCGTATGTGGTATTATCTGATTTTAGGTTTCCTTTTGATTGTTAGTGATTGCATAATGTCTTCAATTTAATTCTCAATATCCATGAAATGATGTGATGGTGCAGAGTTTAGCTGTCTTATTTGCCGGGAAGTGATGAATCTCCCACTTACCACTCCATGTGCTCATAACTTCTGCAAGGCATGTTTGGAAAGTGCCTTTGCTGGACAGTCTTTTACAAGACAGAGGGGTGAAGGCAGACGGACATTACGAGTGCAGAAAAATATAATGAAATGCCCGTCATGCCCGACTGATATATCTGATTTTCTCCAGAACCCCCAGGTACCTAATTCACAATTTACCTGACAACTTTGTGGTGCTCCAAAATCCAATCATTACTAATTACTATCTCAGTAGTCGATATATTAATGTCATAAGCAAAACTTAATCATTCCATGGTATTTGTTGAAACAAGAAACTTTTGTACTTATGAGTATAAGTTTTAGTCTTACACTGAAGGTTGTTTTGTTGGCAGATTAATAGAGAGTTGATGAACGTAATAGAATCATTGCAGCGCCAAATTGAGGAAGAAAATGCAGGATTGAATGAAGATGTTGATGGTGGCTCAGATGGAAAAGATGAGGTTCCAACTGAAGAAGCTGCTGAAACTGACAAATGTGTGGAGGATGATAAAGAAGGTGCGAAGCCTATCACTGAGACTGAAACCAAGCAGACAAACAAGAGGAAGAGGTCCAGTGATATTGACGATGTATCACCTAAAAAGTCCCTTGATAAACCTGATGTGGTGCATAATCTTGGGGAAGTTGATTCTGCCATACCTGAACTTTCAGTTTAGGGTTTGATGGAGCAAACATGTCTTCGAAGCAGAAGAAAAGTGGTGGCAGCTGGCAAGCGCACTAGGATTGGACGGTGGTTTCATTGAGTGATGATTCTGAACAAGTTGGCTGACATGTTACTTGTGGATAATTTATGGTTTATTTTTGGTTGGACCTATGACAACTCCTTGGTGCATTTGTCATATTTCAATTGCATTACCCCTAGCCCTTGCATGGCAAGCTTTTTATTTGGTGTTTTAGTGTACTCATTTTGGAGGGCAGATTGAAATTATGAACTGCAACCATAAATGTTGGAGATTATGCATCTCTTGCGTTCTGGCTTTCTGTTATTCATTTATTGTCCAGGTACAGTAATAAGCTATGCATTCATGCCCTTGGTAATGGTAGAGAGTTCTAAATAGGTAGAGTCTTCCTACTAGTTTGAGAGCATAAATTAAATATTTTTGACAAATGTATTCAGCAAGGTGTAGCTGGAACCAAGCAAGGCTCTTGAAATAATGGTTCATAACTATACAAGTTCAAGAGAGGGTAGTAGCTTGAAGCCTATACTATATCAGCACTGAATAACGTAGGTGAAAATGTATGGACTCGAATTTCTCTACTCTTAAATACTGGAGATACCTTTTGCAACTCTCCTACAATTAAAGTAGTCGCTTCAATTGCACGGGTCAGAAAAGGGAGTGTAAAGCTAGTAGCGTTTAATAGTAGAGCCCCAAATATTACCAGCCCTAGAAGAAGTGAAAGATGACACCAGCTTCTAAGTTCTATGATCTTAGGATATTTCTACGAAGAAGTGAAAGATGACACCAAATATTACTCCGTTGCATTTGGTGGATTACTCTTTGTTGTATTTTCTATGTTCAACAATAAAAGTAACAAGGTATTTTCAACGATCAAATTTATTCCTATATGTACCTTTTTTTATTTTCCTCTAAGTTGATACTTGCTAGTTTTGGACAGAGATTTTATCGGCCGTCAGGTGAGCCTAGAATGTAGTTTTGAGTACTTTAATTAAGAATATTATAGTCTGTCTCTATATACTAGTCAATATTCAAGCCGAATAAATCGAAAGGAGAAAAGCCAAATTATGACAAATTTAATTACGTATGATATTGGTATATCATTTTAAGGAATTGAATACTGAAAATACCAGATCGAAATGTCTAAATATCATACCGTACTGACGAATGAACACCCTTACTAAGTTCTAATCCCAATAACAATGTCCTGTTTTGAAGATAACAAAAAAGCAAAGTCATATAATTAAGCTCATTACAAAACCATATTTAAGATGTAATTAGCTACCTTCCATGAATATAAGTCCTGTTGGATTCTCGAGGGCATATTGAACCAATCTCTGGTCAGCTGTTTGAGCAAGAGTTGAAAACGTTGCCTATGGTCCACAAAAGACCCAGTAACCAAAGAGCTTGGGGAGTACGCTTAATTTGGGTTTTGCATAGATGTAAATAAGATATAAGGACAGGGAAATCCACGAGCTCCGATTGCATAAAAATAAATCAAGATTTCTCTAGATCAAGCTGCTCAAAATGGAAGCAAGGGTGTAGAAAATGCAGTGACCAATAATGCAGCGGCTGTTATCAACCCTGATATGTATAAAAAAAACTACCAGCAAATTTGAGAATTTCATTAATATGCATGTCATAATCAGACAGTTTAAACTACGAAAGACACGTTTATCAATCAATGCAGTCTGTCTTTTGGTAGATCTGGATTTGCACATGGTAACAAATTACGACCGAGGATAGAAGAAAAGCTTCGGTAAAATATTTTTCTCGATCTGTTAGATGTGCACAAATTCGAAATTTCTCATTGCAGGCACAGCTGTATACAGGTTATATATATATACACACAACATTGCAAAAGGATTGCGAACAAGATCATTGGCGAAATGAATATACCTTTCTAGGAAAAAAAACATACTTCCTTGCTTAGGAAGACAAAACAGACAGCTTTCAGTAAAAGTTTTAGAGGAGACGAACAGAAACTTAGAGAAACCTTTTGCAGTGATACGAATCCTAATCCAAGCTCTCAAAGTTGTAGCTAATTGGAAGAGATCTCTCGGGCAGTATTAGCCTTCTTCTAGAAATGCTTGCATTTTACTAGCGCATATGAAGGAGGAGAGCATTTGTATTTGACCGTGGCCGCACTTATTCATGCTAAAACAGAGGGAAATTCAGTTGTAGATGTAATTCTAACCGGTTCAATTAAACCCATAACTTTTGACACCGTGCATAAATTTATGCGTACAAATTTATTAAAATTGCAAAAACGATATGAACCCATAACTTTAAAAATATAACGGGTCCAATATTAAGAATCTTAAAGAGCGTGCCGGTAGCCTACATAAGAGCGATCAAGGACATGTATGATGGAGCTAAGACTAAGGTTAGGACTGTGGGAGGCGACTCGGAGCATTTCCCCGTTGTTATGGGATTACACCAAAGCTCTGCGCTTAGCCGTTCTTATTTGCCTTGGTGATAGATGCATTGACACACCATATTCAAGGGGATGTTGTATTGGGAAAAAATATATTTAAATATAAAGTGACGTGTCGAATACGTGTCGAAACATGTAGACTGGTCAAATGGTCAAAGAATTACAACTAGCCAAGAGGCACGAGTTGCAACAGATACGAGCAAATGGCAGAGGAAGAGGCACGGGCAGGAATACAAATAACCCAGCACCCGTACCTATCTAAGTCATTTATGTCCGAGAATCAAAAGGAATGAATCTGACAATAGAAAAGAGTGCAGATACGACATTTAATAGGCATTAAATGTAGAATACGTTAGAGAATTTGTATTGAATATAATGATTATGTAACGTAGCATTAAATGTCTTTAATTACTCATAATAACCTCATTATGATTTGGGCAAAACGTATATCTCCAAGATATCTATAAAAGGGAGATATCTGATCAATTGTGGGGACACGAAATACTATTGATATAAACTTTGGTTTACTTATTTTTCTCTTGATTACTCTCTTGCTACCTAAATTACTTCCTTTTATACACTCTTTTGATTATCAGTAACCCGTGTTCTTCTAAATTCTAGCTTTGACTAAAATTTCATTTTTTGGTTAAACAGATGTGCCATGGTGTATGTTATTTGCTGATGACATAATTCTAATTGATGAGACGAGGGTCGGGAGGTTTGGAGACAGACTCTCGAGTCTAAGGGTTTCAAATTGAGCAAGTCTAAGACAGAGTACCTGGAGTGCAAGTTTAGCGCTGAGTCAAGGGAAGTAGGCAGGGACGTGAGGCTTGGATCACAGGTCATCCCCAAGAGAGATAGCTTCAAGTACCTTGGGTCGATGATTTAGGGGGACAGAGAGATCGATTACCACTCAAGTACACCCGGTCATTGCCCCATGGCCATTTATGAAATGGGAATGGATATTGTGGGTCTATTACCATAAGCAAAAGGACAGGTAAAGTTTCTGCTCGTACTCACTGATTATTTTATTAAATGGGTGGAGGCAGGAGCATTTAAACAGGTGCGAGAAAAGGAAGTCAAAGATTTTCTTTGGCGGAATATCATAAGCCGATTCGGTGTACCAAAGGAGATCGTGTGTGATAATGACCCTCAATTTATTGGAGCTCAAATCACGGAATTCTTTCAAAGTTGGCAAATTAAAAGGATTACGTCAATACCTTATCACCCGGAGGGTAATGGGCAAGCAGAATCAACGAACAAGGTTATTATCAATAATTTAAAGAAACGATTAGAGGTATCAAAAGGTAACTGGCCTAAAGTGTTACCTGGAGTTTTATGGGCATATCGCACAACTGCAAAAACAATTACAGGAGAAACACCGTTTTCATTGATTTATGGAGCTGAGGCTTTAATTCCAGTTGAGATAGGGGAACCAAGTACGCGGTTCACACAAGCAACAAAATAATCTAATGACGAGGAGATGCGGGTCAATCTAGATTTACTCGAGGGGAGGAGAGAAGCTGCATTGATAAGAATGGCAGCACAAAGCCAAGTCATAGAACGATATTACAACCGAAAAACACGCCTCAGATTCTTCAAAGTGGGGGACTTCGTGCTTAAAAAGGTTTTTCAATCCACAAAGGTAGCTGACGCGGGTAAATTAAGTCCAACATGGGAAGGACCCTATAGAGTTCGTGATATTGCAGGCAAGGGAGTATATGAGTTGGAGGCAATGTACTACCTTCACATTGGAATGCTATTCATTTGAAGAGACACTATTTCTAAGAAATACCCACGATCAGGTATCACTATTTCAAATTTAATTTTTGAATTGTTAAAATTTTACTAACGATTTTAGATGATAGGCAAAAAGCTAACCCGTACTAAATGATGAGTCACAACCTGTAAGGCACACGAAATAACCTAAAATTCCTGGCCTAGGGTTACAATTATTCTAATAGAAATTCATACGGGTTAAGCAGTCTTCATCTAAAATCGCATCTTCGAGTCCCGTATGTTTTTCCTTTTCAGGAAAAGGACCAAATGAGAGAATCTATCAAGTGCTCAAGGCTTCATACTTCAACACTCAAACACTTGGGGACTACATAATATACACAGATATGTGTATAAAGAAGGCAAAAAAGATTAAGAAAAGTCAAGCCTAAAAGAGTCAAGTGCAGAGTAAAAGTCATAAGGTCACGAGATGAAGACACGAGCTAAGGCCAAAGAAAAACCTCACTATAGTTAGGGTAAAGGCTATGTACTAAAACGGGTTATAAGAAAAAACCCCGTGTCTATTATTCTTCTTTTGAAAAAATCTGTTACAAGAAAAACAGTTACGAGAAAGTTATAAATGTAATTCAAATATATGTAAAGTATTATTCAAAACTAGTCAAAGTTATTTCAAAGAAACATGTGTGTTCCTATTTCTTTTATCGTATGACAACAACATTATGAAGTTGAGACGTCTTCTTCATTAAGTATCAAAGTATAAAATGACCCTTTTTTATAAAACTCATGTTTAAATTAATTAGTCATGAGGTTAACAGAAGCATTTTCGAAAAACAAAAATGCAAATTATTCTGTAAGTCCTTAAAAATAAAGGCAAGAATAAAGCAAATAGAAGTTTAAGATAATAACATGAAAAACTTATTAATATGTAAAAAATGTAGAACTAAGCTCGGACTTAGTCATAAAACTATGAAATTGTTTATGCAGATTGCTCCATAAAAGACTTGGGGACTTGCGTTTCCAAAATCAACCCTCAAATGAAGCTAAGGGTTTGATTACAATTTTCCAAAATAAAAACAAGAACAAAATCATTCAAATGATTAAAACTGGTCACTGAAAAGTTTGTGGAACTGAAGCAAGAA